AACAATGGACCCCACCCAAGCAACATGAGGTCCCACTTCTGATTGGACGATTTCAGTTGAGACATTTTAGCAGTGATCCATTCTGCATTCAGTAGGCAAGATCCACATTGCCATTTTCTGTAGAATACAAATACCAGGCAGACCGCATTCCCGTTATTGTTCCCGTATTTTTCTGTCTATGTATTGTTGCCATTGCTAACCCCATGCCCATCTATATATACAGCTGTTGATAAGTGGTCAGTTACTTGTTGGTGGCCCTACGTATTACCAATGTGGTCAGTATGTCCCCTGCATATTGGGAAATTTTTATGGTGCCGTCTTTGCAAAGGTGAGAACAGATCAGTACTGTTTTCTATGAGAACTTTCTTACTATAATTACATACTTGCCAAGAGTCCCGGATTTGTTGGGACAGCCCTGATTTTTAGTCGCTCGTCCCTTGAAGGCTGAATCTTGGGTTTTGTCCTGAGATCACAACACGATTGGATGCTAGCAAAGGAACAATTAATGACATGACGAGCACACTCACTACTCATAAAGAACGGTGCCTACTTCTGATTGGACGCTTTTGATCGGGACAATTTAGCAGCAATCCATTCTGCATTCAGTAAGCAAGACCAATATATACATGTTCTGTAGAATACAAATACCAGGCAGACCGCATTCCTGCATTATTTTGCCTATGTATTGCTACTATTGTAAATTCCGTGAGCGTCTATTCATACAGCTGTTCATACGTGTTGGTAGCCCCTGTATTGTCACTGCTGTCAGTGTGTTACCCGCATATTTGGAAATGTTTATGGTGCCGTCTTTGCAAAGGTGAGAGCAGATCAGTACTATTTTCTAGGAGAACTTTCTTACTATAATTACATACTAGCAAAGAGTCCCAGCTTTGTTGGGATAGTCCTGATTCTTAGTCGCTTGTCCCTTGAAGGCTGAATCCTGGGTTGTTAGATATACTAGCCAAGAGTCCCGGATTTGTTGGGACAGCCCTGATTTTTAGTCGCCTGTCCCTTGAAGGCTGAATCCTAGATTTCATCTGGAGATCACAGCATGAAGCCCTGTCAATACCTCCGCCCAGCACTGCCCTGTCACATTGTGTATAATGGAATTTGGTGATTTACATATAAAGTCAATTCACATTCAAATATTGCAACATTCGTATGTAAATCACTTTATTACTATAATTAGATACTTGCCAAGAGTCCAGGATTTGTGGGGATAGTCTTGATTTTTAGTCGCCCATCCCTTGCAGGCTGAATCCTGGGTTTTATCCCGAGATCACAGCATGAAGCCTAAGACCAGCACCACTCCGCCCATGTCAAACATTTCAGCCTTCGGGTAAATCACTTTATTACTATAATTACATTCTTGCCAAGAGTCCCGGATTTTGGGGATAGTCCTGATTTTTAGTTGCCTGTCAATTGAAGGCTGAATTCTGGGTTTTAGCCCGAGTTACAACATGAAGCCTAAGACCAGCACCGCCCTGTCACATTGGGTACAATCGAATTTGGCGATATACACATGATTTCATATTCAGATATTGCAACATTCATACACAAGTCACTTTATTACTATAATTACATACTTGCCAAACGTCCCGGATTTGTTGGGATAGTCTTGATTTTTAGTCGCTTGTCCCTTGAAGACTGAATCCTGGGTTTGATCCCGAGATCACAGCATGAAGCCTAAGACCAGCGCCGCCCTGTCACATTGTGATTTATATATGAATTCAACTCATATTCAAATATTGCAACATTCATATGTAAACCACTTTATAACTATAATTAAATACTTGCAAAGAGTCCCAGGTTTGTTGGGATAGTCTTGATTTTTAGTCGCCTATCCCTTTAAAGCTGAATCCCAAGTTTTATCCCGAGACCAGCACCGCCCTGTCACATCGTGTATTACCTATTTATTCAATTCATATTAAAAAATATTGCAACATTCGTATGTACATCACTTTATTACTATAATTACATCATTGCCAAAAGTCCCGGATTTGTTGGGATAGTCCTGATTTTTAGTCGCCTGTCCCTTGAAGTCTGAATCCTGGGTTTCATTCTGAGATCGCAGCATGAAGCCTAAGCCCAGCACCGCCCTGTCATATTGTGATCTACCTTTGAATTCAATTCCTATTCAAATATTGCAACATCAATATGTCAATATTCCGTTCATTCACATGCGGATCCCCTCCCCAAGTTCCCACCCTCCATCTACTAATTACCCTGAAAAACACAAATCTTTTCACTTCGCTCCCAATTTGCTATGATGTGATTGTACCACTTGGGCCACCTCTCCCCTCATTTCAGAAACTCTGAGGCTGATGGGGCTGAAATTGTACCCTGGTAGGCCCTGATCATTCAGTTCCTGGGTTGGCACCCCAACGTAGCCTATTATGAGGGACTACTGCTCTACACACTGGATTTCTATTTCATAGCATGCAACATGGAAAAAGGAGAGTGGGAATACCATAAAGTGGTGGTGGAACCTATAGTAGGCTCATCCCACCAAAGTGATGGTGGTGGGGGACCTATAGGAGGCTCATCTCACCACCAAAGTGATGGTGGTGCTGGTGGGGGACCTATATTAGACTCATCTCACCAAAGTGGTGGTGGTGCTGGTGGGGGACCTATAGTAGGCTCATATCACCAAAGTGGTGGTGGGTGCTGGTGGGGGTCCTATAGTAGGCTCATCCCACCAAAGTGGTGGTGGTGCTGGTGGGGGACCTATAGTAGGCTCATCCCCCCAAAGTGATGGTGGTGTTGCTGGTGGGGGACCTATAGTAGACTCATCCCACCAAAGTGGTGGTAGTGCTGCTGGTGGGGGGACCTATAGTAGGCTCATCCCACCAAGTGGTGGTGGTGCTGGTGGGGGATCTATAGTAAGCTCATCCCACCAAAGTGGTTGTGGTGCTGCTGGTGGGGGACCTATAGTAGGCGCATCCCATCAAAGTGGGGTGGTGGTGCTGATGAGGGACCTATAGTAGGCTCATCCCTCCAAAGTGGTGGTGCTGGTGGGGGACCTATAGTAGGCTCATCCCACCAAAGTGGTGGTGGTGTTGGTGCTGGTGTGGGGGACCTATAGTAGACTCATCCCACCAAACTGGTGGTGGTGGTGGTGCTGGTGGGGGACCTATAGTAGACTCATCCCACCAAAGTGTTGGTGGTGGTGCTGGTGGGGGACCTATAGTAGGCTCATCCCACCAAAAGTGGTGGTGGAGGACCTATGGTAGGCTCATCCCTCCAAAGTGGTGGTGGTGGTGGTGCTGGTGGGGGACCTATAGTAGACTCATCCCACCAAACTGGTGGTGGTGGTGCTGGTGGGGGACCTATAGTAGACTCCTCCCTCCAAATTGGTGGTGGTGGTGCTGGTGGGGGACCTATAGTAGACTCATCCCACCAAACTGGTGGTGGTGGTGCTGGTGGGGGACCTATAGTAGACTCATCCCTCCAAAGTGGTGTGGTGGTGCTGGTGGGGGACCTATAGTAGACTCATTCCACCAAAGTGGTGGTGCTGGTGGGGGACCTATAGTAGGCTCATCCCACCAAAAAGTGGTGGTGGAGGACCTATGGTAGGTTCATCCCTCCACAGTGCTGGTGGGGGACCTATAGTAGACTCATCCTACCAAAGTGGTGGTGGTGGTGCTGGTGGGGGACCTATGGTAGGCTCATCCCACCAAAATGGTGGTGGTACTGGTGGGGGACCTATAGTAGGCTCATCCCACCAAAGTGGTGGTTGTGGTGCTGGTGGGGGACCTATAGTAGGCTCATCCCACCAAAGTGGTGGTTGTGGTGCTGGTAAGGGACCTATAGTAGACTCATCCCACCAAAAGTGCTGGTGGAGGACCTATGGTAGGCTCATCCCTCCACAGTGGTGGTGGTGGTGCTGGTGGGGGGACCTATAGTAGGCTCATCCCAACAAAGTGGTGGTTGTGGTGCTGGTGGGGGGACCTATAGTAGACTAGACTCCTCCCTCCAAAGTGGTGGTGGTGGTGCTGGTGGGGGACCTATAGTAGACTCATCCCACCAAAGTGGTGGTGGTGGTGCTGGTGGGGGACCTATAGTAGGCTCATCCCTCCCAAAGTGGTGGTGGTGTTTGTGGGGGACCTATAATAGACTCATCCCACCATTTCTGAGCCAAGTAAGAGCCAACAGAAGACCCAGCCTAATACACTCCACATATAAATGAAACAAGACTTTCCCCAGGATCCCCATTACAAAACACACTTCTTTTACCCTCTAGGTTCCCCCCAGATAAAAGCCATTGTCCATCGGTCAAAAGAATCAGCAGGCATCTTCTCTCCAATCAGACTCATGTGATCTGTAAAACATTCACCACCGTCTGAAAGTTGTTTGGATGCTCTGAGCTGTGTCTTGTCATGTGTTTAAGAAGTGATTGTTTCGTAGTGAAACATTTCCCGCACTCTGTACACAAATAGGGACGCTCGCCTGAATGAGTTCTCTGGTGAGAAGCAAGGGCTTCTTTGGTAGCAAAACATTTCCCGCACTGCGAACATGAATAAGGACGCTCGCCTGAGTGAATTTTTTGGTGAGCAACAAGGCCTCCTTTTAGAGTGAAACATTTCCCGCACGTTGAACATGAATAAGGACGCTCGCCTGAGTGAAATTTCTGGTGAATAACAAGGCTTCCTTTGGAAGTGAAACATTTGCCGCACTGTGAACAGGTAAAGGGACGCTCGCCTGAGTGAATTTTCTGGTGTCTAACAAGGTCAGCTTTTAAGATGAAACACTTCCCACACGTTGAACACGAATATAGGACGTTCACCTGAGTGAATTTTCTGGTGGGTGCCAAGGGTTCCTTTGATGGTGAAACATTTCCCACACTCTGAACATGAATAGGGACGCTCACCTGAGTGAATTCTCTGGTGACTAACAAAGACTGCTTTTAAGGCAAAAACATTTCCCGCACACTGAACATGAATAAGGACGTTCACTTGACCGCTCACCAGTGTGACGTCTTTCGTGTTTACGAAGGTTTCCTTGTTCAGAAAAACATTTTCCGCACTCTGAACATGAAAAGGGACGCTCCCCCGTATGAACTCTCTGGTGTTTACGAAGGTTTCCTTGGTCAGAAAAACATTTTCCGCACTCCAAACAGGAAAAAGGACACTCGCCTGTGTGACTTCTCTGGTGTGTAAGAAGAGATCCTTTATGCGAAAAACTTTTTCCGCACTCTGAACATGCATGGGGACGCACACCGGTGTGAAGTCTTTGGTGTTTCAGAAGGGTTCCTTTTTCAGAAAAACATTTTCCGCACTCTGAACATGAATAGGGACGCTCACCCGTGTGAATTCTCTGGTGATTAAGAAGGTTTCCTAGGTCAGCAAAACATTTTCCACACTCTAAACAGGAATAGGGACGCTCACCAGTATGAGTTTTCAGGTGTTTCTGAAGATGTACTTTCCTAATAAAACATTTCCCACATTCGGAACATGAATAGGGACGCTCACCAGTGTGATTTTTTTGGTGTTTCAGAAGGCTTCCTTTGTCAGAAAAAACATTTCCTGCACTCGGAACATGAATAAGGACGCTCAGTCTTGTGAGTTTTCTGGTGTACAACAAGGGTGTCTTTCCTAGAATAACATTTCCCGCACTCTGAACATGAATAAGGACGCTCAGCCTTGTGAGATTTCTGGTGTTTAAGAAATACTTCTTTCTCAGTGAATGTTTTTCCCGCACAACAAACATGACAATGAGCTCCCTCCTGTGTGAGCTCCCTCATGGCTTGAAGAGGATTCCTGGGGATTGGATGAATCTGTTGATCTGTCATCACTGTGAGAACTTGGATGGACATCTGAAGTCATAATATGGGATCTATCAGAAGATTCCTCAGGACTAGAAGGATCCATTGATCTTAGATGGACGTCTGAAGTCACAGTAAAATCTGGAGATCTCTCTGTGTTTACATTCCGAAGATACTTTGCACCTGCAGGAAAACAGTTTTATTATACTTTATGTTTTTATACTGCTTGTATTCAGAAGTCATGTCTACCATTTAATACTTTCCCAGAGCTCTGGCATTGAATTGGGAACAACCTTAACAGCAAACAACGAATATAAACCAGATCAGATGATACACCCAAACCATACTAGGTGACAGCAGATGTGCATGCAGGACATTTTTATCATGAAGAATAGTGATGGACCTTCCTCCACCTCATTTCCTGAAAACAAACTGAAGAACAAAGATATACCGTTCATATGATGTACAGTAGTGGCGGAAAGGGGGGAAGGGCACATTCCACTTCTGACATCACCAAAGGGCTGCGCATAATGTTTAGTGTACAACATGTTTCAGGACAAAAGGATGGTCAGAGAGAGAAAACATCCTACAAGAAAAGAAAATGTAAAAAACCAATAAAATTTACCAAACAGACATCTTCTTGCTGGTTTATGTTTTAGAAGAACAATTTTATATTGAAGAACAGAGATGGACCTTTCATATGGTGTCCAGTATCTCCTCCTCATTTGTTGGGAACATGACGTTATATTGAGGAATGGAGATGGACCTTCCATATGGTGTCCAGTATCTCCTCCTCATTTGTTGGGAACATGACGTTATATTGAGGAATGGAGATGGACGTTTCATATGGTGTCCAGTATCTCCTCCTCATTTGTTGGGAACATGATGTTATATTGAGGAATGGAGATGGACCTTTTCATATGGTGTCCAGTATCTCCTCATTTGTTGGGAACATGACGTTATATTGAGGAATGGAGATGGACCTTTCATATGGTGTACGGTATCTCCCCCTCATTTGTTGGGAACGTGATGTTATATTGAGAGACAGAGATGGACCTTTCATATGGTGTCCAGTATCTCCTCATTTGTTGGGAACATGACGTTATATTGAGGAATGGAGATGGCCCTTTCATATGGTGTACAGTATCTCCTCCTCATTTATTGGGAACAAGATGTTTTATTGAGGAATGCAGATAGGCCTTTCATATGGTGTCCAGTATCTCCTCATTTTTTGGGAACAACATTCTATTGAGGAATGGAGATGGGCCTTTCATATGGTGTCCAGTATCTACTCCTCATTGGTTGGGAACATGACGTTATATTGAGGAATGGAGATGGACCTTTCATATGGTGTACAGTATCTCCTCCTCATTTGTTGGGAACATGACGGTTTATTGAGGAATGGAGATGGACCTTTCATATGGTGTACAGTATCTCATTTGTTTTCTTTATAAATCAGAGGCTCTGGATGAACGGTTGGATAAATGGTTTTATATTTAGGACGTATCTAGGCACATATTACATTATAACTGTCTGTAGTTGTGGATGATGGAGATAAAAGATGTCACAGTGACGATGGAGGAAGAGACGGACATGACGATGGAGGATGAGGACGGACATGACAGGGGGGTTACTGGGTGTAAATATAAAATATCTTATTACCTCCTTGGTGTACTCCAGTGACGTCTCCTCTCTACCTCGTTCTGTTCTCAACAACTTCCTGTCCTTCCCTTATATAACACCTTGTCTGTCTTACATCACTTCCTGTCTGAGGGGACCTCTGGATCTAAGTGATATCGCCATCTTGTGGTGATTGTAATAAAGGCATTCTAAGTTACTGTGTTGAACAAGCCCCCTGTTCCGTCGCGCGTTCTCCAGTTGTATCTCATGCATGATGACGCGCTCACATTGTGCTTCCATTACCTTAATCAATAATAAAATACTTTCTCTCTGTTGTCACTTCCTCTGCAGGACCCGGATGTGTTTTGGCTCTGGGGATTTTTATTTATTTTGCTCACAAACTGTAAAAATCTGAATTTTTCTGGGTTACAAATATTACAATTATAATAAATAAAAATAATATAAAAATAATAATTCTGCGGGGGACAAATTCCCGAATGGACCTCAAAGAACTGGACTGTATGTTGCCGGGCTCCTATAGACGAGGCAAGGAACGCGTCATTGGACATTTCCCGACAGCGGTGACAACGCTGGACCCCACCAAAGCAACAGGAGGTCCCCCAACATTAGACCCCACTCCAGACCAATGGACCCCCACCCAAACAACAGGAGGAACCCCAACATTACACCCCACTCCAGCAACAATGGACCCCACCCAAGCAACAAGACGTCCTCCCAACATTAGACCCCCACTCCAGCAACAGTGGACCCCACCCAAGCAACAGGAGGTCCCCCCAACATTAGACCCCACTCCAGCAACAGGAGGTCCCCCCAACATTAGACCCCACTCCAGCAACAATGGATCCCACCCCAGCAACAAGAGCCCCACCCAACAACAATGGACCCCCACCTCAGCATCAAGAGGTCCCCCCAATAATAGACCCCACTCCAGCAACAATGGACCCCACCAAGAGGTCCCCCCTATAATGGACCCCCACCCAAGCAACAGGAGGTCCTCCCAACATTAGACCCCACTCCAGAAACAATGGATCCCACCCCAGCAACAAGAGGCCCCCCCAACAACAATGGACCCCCACCAACAAGAGGTCCCCCCAACATTAGACCCCACTCCAGCAACAATGGCCCACACCTCAGCAACAAGAGGTCCCCCCAAGAATGGATCCCACCCCAACAAGAGGTCCCCCCAAAAATAGACCCCACCCAAGCAACAAGAGAGTCCCCCCACCAATAGACCCTACTCCAGCAAAAATGGACCACACCTCAGCAACAAGAGAGTCCCCCCAACAATAGACCCCCCTCCAGCAACAATAGACCCCACCCCAGCAACAAGAGATCCTCCCAACAATAGACCCCCCTCCAGCAACAATAGACCCTCACCCCAGCAACAAGAGGTCCCCCCAACAATATACCCCACTCCAGCAACAATGGATCCCCACCCCAGCAACAAGGAGGTCCCCCCAACAATATACCCCACTCCAGCAACAATGGGCCCCCACCCCAGCAACAAGAGGTCCCCCCAACAATGGACCCCCACCTCAGTAACAAGAGGTCCCACCTATATTAGACCCCAATCCAGCAGCAATAAATCCTCTGCAGAAACAACAGACCCCCATCAGCAACAAGAGGTCCCCCACACAACAATAGACCGCCCAGAACAAAACTTCACCCCAGCAACAAAAGATCTACCCCAGCATCATTAGCAGATGATCCCTACCAGTCCCTCACACAAAAGAGATCCCCCTCAATGACAATAGATCCCTCAGCAGCCAGCATCAATAGATCCTCCAGCACAACCCACACCCATACATTCAGTGCTGGAGGTGCCGGAACTGTGATCGCTCGCGTTCCCACTTGAAAAAAAAAGCCCTGATTTTATGTACATTTCTTGTATAAATGGTGGGCTGGACTGGACTCTTCTTTTTCTCATATAGATGGAGGCACCATTGTGCCCGTTTTTTGTTTTCTTTGCGATTTCTCACATTATAAAGATTGAATGGTTCTGGAGCCAACAGTATTCATCTAGTCTAAGCATGTCTTAGTGACCTTCCCTTCATCCTAGCCTGATGATGTCTCATCTGACATTACTCTGGCCAATATGCATCTCCGTCCACTTCCTAGCCATAGACACGTGCCTTTGCGGGTATGCTCTGTGCTGTTCGATAAAATAGTTATAACATAAAACATTAACCCCTCCAGAGGATTCCCCCCCCCATCCAGAGGATTCCCCTCCCCCCCATCCAGAGGATTACCCTTCCCCTTCCTGACAAGGCGCTGCGTTACTTTAAATGACAATTGCGCGTTCATACTCACGTCCAATTGCTCTTTGCAATTGGAAGTGTCTACTGACAGGATTTGTTGAAAACTCGGGACAGTCCCACAAAATCCGGGACAGTTGGAGAGGTATGACATCACCACCTTGTGATATTTTTTTTTTTTAAATTTAAATATTTATTAGTTTTTCATATTATTACAAAAAGACTCCATATGAAGCGACACAATACATATAAATAATCAATACATTTCTACTTTGCCCCTTCTATTTACCTCTTTTCTTCCCCTTCCCTCCCAACCCACTCCTACCCCCCCTTCCCCCCTCCCTCCCCTCTGCAAGATCTCCAGTCTCTCTAGGTCCAATAACTTTAAATAACTTCCTAGTTTATAATTTTCTATATTTCTCTTTCAATCCTGATTTTTCCCATCGCGAATAGTATAATTTCAACCTGTCTTCCTGGATATAGTAAGATTTTTCCATTCTACTAATCTGGATTACCCTATTGATCCAATCCTCCTCCGTCGGCACCTCTGTCATCCGCCAAAACTTGGGTATCAACCCCTTTGCCGCACTTAAGTAGTACCATACGCCTGATTCTTTATATTTATTTATTGTTGTCTCAACATTATGTAGGAGACACATGGTTGGGTCTAACCCTATGTCATTTCCAGTTATTATTTCTATTAGTTTAACTATTGTCTTCCAGAAAACCTGAATTTTTGGACATTGCCACCATATGTGGAACACCGTGCCCTCCTCCCCACATCCTCTCCAACACATTTTTGAATTCTCCCCCCTCATCCTGTGCTCAGTGCTCGGTGTAATAT